AGCTTTAAATTCAAATCTTCCCCAAGCTTTAAATAATATTGCTGTAATTTATCATTCTCAAGCTTTACGTGCTCAAACTTTAGAAGAAGATGAATATATTGAATTATCAAAAGAATTATTCGATAAAGCAGCTCAATATTGGATTCAAGCTCTAAAATTAGCTCCCGATAACTATCCAGGAGCTAGAAATTGGTTAAAAGTTACAGGTCGACTACGTGAAAGAAATTAACAAAATCATATTATCATCGATAATTTTCTACAATTTGTTGTACAATAATAAATGATTATTAAATTTATTAGTCTTTAAACTGGCAAGTAAAATTTTGAAAGTATATTTATTTAAAAATATTTTAATATGTTAAATCAAAATGGTAAAAACTAATTTAAATAAAGGTTACGTTAGTCAAATTATTGGTCCTGTATTAGATATTGAGTTTCCAGACGGAACTCTACCTCCTATTTATAGTGCTGTTAAAATTGAATTAGAAGATGGTAGTTCAACAATTGTTGAAGTTCAACAATTATTAGGTGACAATAAAGTTCGTGCTGTATCAATGCGTTCAACTGATGGGTTAAGACGAGGCGTTGTAGCAATCGATTTAGGGGCACCAATTACTGTTCCTGTTGGTACTCCAACCTTAGGCCGAATTTTTAATGTAATTGGTGAACCCGTTGATGAGCAAGGTGAAGTTTTATATGATGAAACCTTACCAATTCATCGTGAAGCGCCAGCATTTACCGAATTAGAAACAAAACCATCAATTTTTGAAACAGGGATTAAAGTGGTTGATTTATTAGCACCATATCGACGTGGTGGTAAAATTGGCTTATTTGGTGGTGCGGGTGTAGGTAAAACTGTTTTAATTATGGAATTAATTAATAATATTGCTAAAGCACATGGTGGTGTATCAGTATTTGGTGGTGTAGGCGAACGTACACGTGAAGGAAATGATTTATACGAAGAAATGAAAGAGTCTGGTGTTATTAATGAAAGTAATTTTGCCGAATCCAAAGTAGCTTTAGTATATGGTCAAATGAATGAACCTCCAGGAGCACGTATGCGTGTCGGTTTAACTGCATTAACTATGGCCGAGTATTTCCGTGATATTAATAAACAAGATGTGTTATTGTTCATTGATAACATTTTCCGATTCACACAAGCTGGGTCCGAAGTATCTGCATTATTAGGTCGTATGCCTTCAGCTGTAGGTTATCAACCAACATTAGCGACAGAAATGGGAGCTTTGCAAGAACGTATTACATCAACAACACAAGGTTCAATTACTTCAATTCAAGCTGTTTATGTACCTGCTGATGATTTAACAGATCCAGCTCCAGCAACTACATTTGCACATTTAGATGCTACGACAGTATTATCACGTAATTTGGCTGCCAAAGGAATCTATCCTGCAGTAGATCCATTAGACTCAACATCAACAATGTTACAACCCGGAATTGTAAGTGAGATTCATTATGAAATTGCAGAATCTGTAAAAGAAACATTACAACGTTATAAAGAATTACAAGACATTATTGCAATTTTAGGAATTGATGAATTGTCTGAGGAAGATCGTTTAACAGTTGCTCGTGCAAGAAAAGTAGAACGATTCTTATCACAACCATTTTTTGTTGCAGAAATTTTTACAGGTTCACCTGGGAAATATGTAAGTTTAGAAGAAACAATCAAGGGTTTTACAATGGTTTTAGGTGGTGAATTAGATGATCTACCAGAACAAGCTTTCTACCTAGTAGGTAATATTGATGAAGCAATTGCAAAAGCAGAAACTCTAAAATAAGGAGTCACAAATATGGTTATGAACATTCGCGTTCTTACCCCTGATAGAGTAATTTGTTCAACAGCAGCAGATGAAGTAGTTTTACCGGGTTTGACTGGTCAAGTTGGGGTTTTAGAGGGTCATGCAGCATTAATTACAGCTTTAGATACAGGATTACTACGAATAAAGTTAAATGAAAAATGGACGCCTATTATTTTATGTGGTGGTTTAGCTGAAATTGATCGTAATCGAGTAACAGTTCTAGTAAATGATGTAGAAGAATTAATTGATATTGAATTAAATAGTGCTACAAAAGAGTTAGAGAAAGCAACGGTTGCAGTTGAAGAAGCTGAAACAAGTAAAGTACGTCTTGATGCCTCTGTTGAACTTAAGAAAGCAACTGCAAGATTAGAAGCAATTAATTATTTATCATAAATTAATTCATTGTTTTAATTTTAAATATTTTGCTGAATTAATTCGAGAGTTCAAAATTTATTTATTAAAGTTTTGAACTCAATTTATAATTATAAATTTATAGACTAGTGCGGATAAATTTTTTCTATGACAACTAATTCTAACTTTAATTTTACAACTAATTCTATGATAACATTAGAATTACCTTTTTCAGAACATTTGGAAGAATTACGACAACGGATTTTTCTTATATTTGGAACAATTTTATTATTAACCTGTTTCGCGTTCATTGAAGTAAAGAGTTTAGTTAAAATTTTAGAACTACCAATCAATAATGTAAAGTTTTTTCAAGTTGCGCCTGGAGAATATTTTATTTCAACAATTAAAATATCTTTTTACACGGGATTATTGTTTTCAAGCCCATTTATTATTAGTCAGCTAATTTTATTTTTATTACCGGGGTTAACAAAAAAAGAAACTAAGATCATTTTACCGTTATTAATAAGTTCGTTAATTTTATTCGGATCCGGTTTAGCTTTTTCTTACTATACTTTAATTCCAGCTGCTTTAAATTTTTTTTTAAATTATAGCGAAGAAGTTCTTGAACCATTTTGGTCATTTGATCAATATTTTGAATTTATTCTAGTTTTATTTTATAGTACTGGGTTAGCTTTTCAAATTCCGATTCTCCAAATTTTATTAGGATTATTAAATATTGTGTCACCAAAGCAGATGTTAAATGCATGGCGATATGTTATTTTACTTTCAACTGTACTTGGTGCAATTTTAACACCTTCAACTGATCCTTTAACACAGTTATTATTATCTGTCGCAATATTATTATTATATTTTTCAGGATTAGGTATCTTGTTTTTAATAAAGAATTAATCTATATAAAAATCTATACTTAACAAGTATTTAAATTATGGCAAATAACAAGTTTTTTAAAAGTCTTTTACTTGCTTTGACAATTGGTGTGGGTGTTTTTGGTTTCTATATTCCAAGTTCATTAGCATATCCAGTTTTTGCCCAACAAAATTATTCCAATCCTCGTGCAGCAAATGGTAAATTAGCGTGTGCTAACTGTCATTTAAATCAAAAATCGATTGAGATTGAAGCACCACAAGCGGTTCTTCCAAATTCCGTTTTTGAAGTAGAAATTAAAGTACCATATGATACTAGTAAACAACAAATTGGCGCAAATGGTAAAAAAGCGGATTTAAATGTTGGTGGGATTTTAATTTTACCAAAAGGATTCAAACTAGCTGCAAAGAATCAGATTTCGCCAGAAGTAAAAGCAAAAAATAAAGGTGTTTTTATTTCTCCTTATAGTACTGAATTTGATAATATCTTCGTAGTCGGGCCAATTGCAGGAAAAACACATCAACAATTAATCTTCCCAGTAGTAGCACCTGATCCAGAGAAAAATTCTGATGTAAAATATTTATCATACCCATTCTATGCTGGTGGAAACCGTGGTCGTGGACAAGTTTACCCAACTGGTGAAAAAAGTAATGTAAATGTATTTGGAGCTAACCAAGCTGGTCAGATTACCGAAATTACATCTACAGATAAAGGTGCAACAACAGTTATGATTATTAATTCAACTGGTACACAAACCTCACAAATTATCCCAGAAGGATTAACGTTAATTGCTAAAGTAGGAGATATTGTTCAAGCGGATCAAGGATTAAACTTAGATCCAAATGCTGGTGGATTTGGACAGGAAGAATCAGAAATTGTATTACAAGATCCCTTACGAATCATTGGATATCTGATCTTCTGTTTCTGTGCATTAATGACACAAATCTTTTTAGTTTTAAAGAAAAAACAATTTGAAAAAGTACAAGCCGCAGAGTTAAACTTTTAATTAATCTCTGTAAAAAGTTGAAATGATAAAAAACATAAATCATTTCAACTTTTTTATTAAATTACAAACTAATATAATTCATCTTCTTGATGTACTAAAATTGTACAATCTGATTTTGGATATGCTATACATGTTAATACAAAACCTGATTCTACTTGATCATCATCTAAGAAAGTTTGTTCCGATTGATCAATTTCTCCAGCTGTTACTTTACCAGCACATGTTGAACAAGCACCAGCACGACATGAATACGGTAATTCAATTCCTTGTTCTTCTGCTGCATCTAAAACGAATACATCATCGTTACAATCAATTGTTGTATCAATATCATGTTCTTCACTTAATAACGTTACTTTATAAGTAACCATATAACTCCTTATTTTTAATAAATATAAAGTAAACTTATCGTAATACTTTACTAGATTATATTATACTACGGAAATTTCGTACAAATCAATATTTTTTAATTAATTTTATTTATTTTTCAAACGAATCTACTTAAAAGCTTGCTTTAAACGGCTTGCTTTTCCTTTTAATGAACGTAAATAGTATAATTTTGATCGTCTAACCTTTGAGGATCTTAAAACATGAATGGATTTTACTTTAGGAGAATGAATTAAAAAAATCCGTTCTACTCCAATACCTTGTAAAGTTTTACGAACGGTAATAGTTGTATTAATAGAAGTATTTTTTTTAGCAATAATTGTTCCTTCATAAAACTGAATTCGCTCTTTATTTCCTTCAATAATTTTAATGCCGAGTTTAACATTATCACCAATTCTTAAAATAGGTAAATTATCTTTTAAAAATTCTTTTTCTACATTAGTAAGTGTTTGCTGTATATTTAAATTAGCCATAAGTTATACGTATTAAATGTAATTGTTTTTTATTATATATGTTACAATTAGATTAAAAAAAAAACAATATTAAAATAATTATAATGCATTCGACTGGGTTCGAACCAGTGATGTTCCAGAGGAAAACGGATTATGAGTCCGGTGCCTTCAACCACTCGGCCACGAATGCGATAATGGAGCTGATGGGAATTGAACCCACGTCCATTTAAACTTTTTTAAGATATTTACTCACAGGCATAGTTCCACAGAACAGAATATAAATATAATTTAATCTAAACTACTATATGGAAAAGCCTATAATAGTGAATAATTATTATAAATTTAAAGTGCAAATTGTAATAAATTTGAGTTATTCTTTTGTGTATTAAAACCTACGAAAGTAAGTAACGATAAAGTAATAGTTTTAGCATTTATATTTAAGGTTGTATGTTTTTACGAAGAATACAAGCTTCGACCTGATTCATATCTTAAATTATTTTTAAATGTCGAAACCAAAACAGCCCCAATTCGTACTTAATATGTAAGCATGAAGGGAATCGAACCCTTGACATTCAGAATCGGAATCTGATGCTCTATCCACTGAGCTACATGCTTTAATTATAAAAAATTTTCTTCTCTTTGTAAATAAATTATTTCAAAAAGTAACCTTTTAGTTACTTTTTGAAATAATTTATTTAATAATAAATTTTACCACCGCCCCATTTTTCAGTAACAATTTTTGGTTGTAATAAAATATGACCAGCAATTGCGTACAAATCATCATCGGTTACTGATCGCATACGTGGATAAAGATCAGCACTTTTAATACTTGGGTGAACTTCGGCAATTGAATCTAATCCATCATATGTTGTAGGATTTTTTAAATAATCAATTAAACTATTAATATTATCACGTCTTGGAGTTGCTAAACTTAATGCTTCAGGGTCTAAACCAACATTAGGATTCGTTTTTGTAATACCTCCTACATGACAAGCACCACATGTTGCATTAAATAATCGTTTTCCACGTTTAACTTGTTCTGGTGTTAACACAACAGTTTTTCCTGATCCATTTTCAACAACTGTTCTTGTTGCTTCATCTAAATCAATAGCTGAAGCTGTTGTTACAAAAAAACTAAAAATAAATACAAGTGTTGTTAAAAGGATTTGTGAATACTTTTTAAACATAATTTGAATAAATTATTTACAAACTTGAAACCAAGATTTTTTAAGATTAATAAGTTAATTTTTTTTTTTGTTTTTAAATTTTGCCATATTAGCAATTAAACCTCGAAGCCGAATGTTTTCCCATCCTGCAACTAAAACAGTTATAACTATTAAAACCTGACTAAATAACAGAATTGGATCTAATCGCCACCCATGAACCATTAAAATACAACTATATAAAAAACCAATTGTTGCAAAAAAAATATCTTCGTCCCGAGCAACTTCAGGTTTAATATTTCGAAGAAAATATAAAATTAATACCCCAATACTTACAATAATACCTAAGAAAATATTTGGACCAAAACTAACGTTTATCATAAGACATGAATTTATAACTTACTATATCTTAAAACATGCTTAACTAAAAAAGCTATCTTTAAAAATTAAGCGCGTGTAATTCGATCAGACTTACTAATAATAATTAACGCAATACCGATAGCAATTACAACAATTCCGCCTGCAACTAAACTAGACAAAAAATTTCCTAATGAAGGTGTCATTTATAAAATTCCTTTTTATTGTGAGAATAATAAAGTTAAAAATAGTAATATTAATTACAATAAGTATTGTATCAATTTTTAAAAAAAAATAGAACTAAATTAAATAAAAAAATATTAATAATTAATTTAAAAGTTTCTTATTAGTATCATTTTAAGTAAATTATTATTATACAGTAAGAATCTTATGATATAAAGTTTATACTAAATTTTAAAAAGTAACTTGATGCTGTTACCTTACAGTCCTGACATGATAAGTTATAATTAAAATCTATAAGACTTTATACCAATGTTAATACTACAAAATTATTTATTTTTTGTCAAATGCCTAAAATTTAAAAGTAGTAATTTTTACTATTCCCTTGTCATTTCTTAAGAATTATAATACAATTTATTATAAGCCCGGATAGCTCAGTTGGTAGAGCAGTGGATTGAAGATCCTCGTGTCACCAGTTCGAATCTGGTTCTGGGCATTTTTAGTCTCAAGAAACTTTTAATTCTGCAAATTTTGTATAATTTTGGTCAAATTCTAAGTGAACAATTCCAATAGGGCCATTTCTTTGTTTTGCAATAATAACATCCATTATAGATATAGATGATTTCATTTCTTTATTAGTATTATTAATTTTTGAACGATACAACATTAAAACAAGATCGGCATCTTGTTCAATTGAGCCACTCTCACGTAAATCAGATAAAATTGGTTTCTGATCAATTCGATTATCAACATTCCGACTTAATTGTGATAAAGCAATGATAGGTATATTAAATTCTTTTGATAAATTTTTTAACGAACGTGTAATATATGATAATTCTTGAACTCGATTGCCCATTTTAAGATCCGAAGTCTCCATTAACTGAAGATAATCGATAATTACAGCACCAATTTTAGTTTGTTTTAGGAAAATTGCTTTGAGCTTTAAACGCAACTCTTGGATCGATAAACTTGCAGTTTCATCAACAAAAAAAGGTAATTTAGCAACAATTTTGATTACTTTTGTTATTTTTATCCAATCATTTTGATCTAATTGTCCATTTTTCAATTTTATTTGAGAAATTGTTGCTTCGACAGATAAAATTCGATACATAATCTGTTCTTTTGACATTTCTAAACTAAAAAAAATAACGGGAAGCTGGGAACTTTGTATAATATTCAAAGCTAAAGTCAAACTTAAAGCAGTTTTTCCAACCGAGGGTCGACCAGCTAAAATTATTAAGTCAGATTTTTGAAAACCTTGTATTAATTTATCTAAACTTGGAAAACCAGATGATAATCCAGGCAGTTTTGGGTTTAGAAATTTTTCTTTTAATTCTGAAAACATTATGTTCAATAATTGAGCACTACTTAAAATGGATTTATTTTCAAACTGACTAAGTAAATCTGAAATTTCAATATCAAGCTGCAATAAAAGTTTTTCTAATGGAATATTTGTAATATAGCCTGAATTACTAATCTGATAACCTAGTTTAATAAGTGATCTACGTAAAAACTTATCTTTAACAAGTTTGATATAATCTTCTAGATAAATTAAATTTGAAGATTGGTTGGTTAATTCAATTAAAACTTTAATACCCCCAATTTTTTTTAATAAATTATTTTCTTGTAAAAAAATTATTAATGATAGCATATTAATAAATAATTTATTTCTATACATAAATTGTAATATTTTATAAATTTGTTGATGATTTGTAAAATAAAATGCTTCAATGGGCAATAATTTTACAGTTAATTTAACTGTTTCAGGATTTAAAATTAAACAATTTAATATCATTTGTTCAGCTAAAAAATTATGAGGCAAATTTTCTTTAATAAATTTTTGTTTTTGTTTCATTTTAAATCCTTTTTTAATATAATTTAAGTGATTTTTAATATCTTGTAATTTTATTCTATTAAAATTATAATAATATATAGGCGTCCTTAGTTCAGTTGGTAGAACGCTAGTCTCCAAAATTAGATGTCGAGGGTTCAAGTCCTTCAGGACGCGTTTCTCTTTTAAAAGAGGTTAAATTATTTCAATAGAATTTGAACTATTATAAATTTTATATTTCAAATAAATCTTTTGGTTTAATTGAAATACAAATTTTTAATTACTTTTAATTAAATTATATAACTAAATTCTTATGGCTAAGAAAATTACTGCACTAATTAAACTTGCTTTACCAGCTGCTAAAGCAACACCAGCACCACCAGTTGGACCTGCTTTAGGCCAACATGGTGTCAATATTGCGGCATTTTGTAAAGAATATAATGCTAAAACCAATGATAAATCAGGCTTGGTTATTCCTGTCGAAATCTCAGTCTATGAAGATAGAAGTTATACTTTCATTCTTAAAACACCTCCCGCATCAGTATTATTAGTTAATGCGGCAAAAGTCAAAAAAGGTTCTTCAACTCCAAACAGAGTAAGTGTTGGTTCGATTACAAAAGCTCAACTAGAAGAAATTGCTAATGTAAAATTACCAGATTTAAATACTACAAAACTTACTAGTGCTATGAAAATTGTTGAAGGGACTGCTCGAAATATGGGTATCTCCATTGTAGATTAACTGAAGATTAACGAACTTTTAATGGAGAAATTTATGCAAAAATTATCACGACGTCAAACCGAAAATCTTGAAATAACAAAAAATAGAGTTTATTCAAATTTAGAAGAAGCAATTAAAGTTTTGAAACAAACAGCAACAACTAAATTTATTGAAAGTGTTGAATTACATGCGAATTTAAACATCGATCCAAAATACGCAGATCAACAATTACGAACAACTGTAACTTTACCTCATGGAATTGGAAAACAATTAACGATCGCTGTTCTCACAAATGACGAAAATTTTGAAGAAGCAAAAACGGCTGGAGCAGATCTTATTGGAAATGAAGAATTAATTGATAATATTATTAAAGGAAATATTGAATTTGATTTATTAATTACTACACCAAATATGATGCCTAAACTAGCAAAATTAGGTCGCGTTTTAGGTCCAAAAGGATTAATGCCTTCCCCGAAATCTGGTACTGTTAGTTCTACATTACAGGAAACAATTACAGAATTTAAAAAAGGAAAATTTGAGTATAAAGCTGATAAAACAGGCATTGTTCATGTGAGTTTTGGAAAATCTAATTTTGCCGAAAATCAATTAGCCGAAAATTTACAAGCTTTATATAATTCAATTGAGAAGAATCGTCCATCTGGAGTAAAAGGTAAATATTTTAAAAGCCTATTTATTTGTACGACAATGGGCCCTTCCATAAAATTGGATTTAAACAATTTTGTTTAAATCAGAAATACTATAACTATATATTTATTAAAAAAGTTTATTATGTCAGAAAAAATTAATCAAATTATTGAAGATTTAAAAACATTAACATTATTAGAAGCTTCAGAACTAGTAACTGCAATTGAAGAAACATTTGGAGTTGATGCTTCAGCAGCAGTTGGTGGAGCCGTAGTAATGACTACGGCTGGTCCAGC